ATTCACTCATAATACACATTCCCCTGGATTCAATCGAGAGCGTAAAATAACTTTGTAAAAGTTCAATATAGGGTGAGGAAACCACCATTACTATCTGACTAGGACCTCACCATCAATAGGGATGTAATCGTACCTTTTGATTACGCTACACGTATTGTCTTCAAAGGAAAGGCAAGTTATGACAAGATTAACAAGTTTGTTCTGGTGATGATCATTCATCGATATGCGCGTGCATTCAACAATAAATGAACATAAGAAGAGAGAAAAAGGGAGAGAGAAGAGACAACAAAATATTCTGCTGCACTAAAATCACAGAGATAATCTTAATTATACATCTAGGCTTGTACGATCTATTGTTGATGCTACAACAACGATTGGAGCCCGATCAGAACAAAAATGACGCACAATCAGTCCTTTCACTTGTTTGTGAAGTTGAGAGTCATAAAATCTTTGAATTCTGAAAAGACCTGAAATGGCCTCTTTTTGTATAAAAAAAGGGTCCATATTGATAAATGCTTATGGTACAAACAGCTGCATTAGCGTTAAAAAAAATCCAATAAAATCTACAGAATGTTTCAGTCCATCGAAGTAAAGTATAGAACTGTCATTTTCATGAAAGATTTTTTCTCAACGGTATCAGTATGTTAATTTTTTTCATATAATAGTTCGACTCAGAGAGGCTTAAACGGATACCCAAAGTAAGAATAATTTGCTAAAATAATGGATGATTTAATATCTTAAGATATTGGAGCACTTTATTAAATATAATACAGTGAATACCGCCCTTTTTGAATACAGGCAAGATAATGCAAATTAGTAGTTAAAATAATTTGGAGGATTTTTTTCTCATGACTCTACAAGAGGGTTATCTTTCAGAATAGTTCACCTTTTCATTCTGACTGAGGTCCCAATCGTAAGTGAAGAAGTGAATTACACTAATCCAAGCAATATGAAAGAGTTGCTGCTTCATGGTAAAAACGAATAAGCATTCTTCTACGTAGGGGTGCACTGTTTACGTATAAGATATTTTAACGTCACTTTTGGACGGATTTGAGATTCTGATGCGCCAGAAAAGGGAGCGTTTGTCGACCTCACTTGTGATATCATGCATGATATAACGCACTATTACTTCACATGTAGTCCAGTGCCGATTTTCGTTGGAGTTGGCAAAACTAGATTTCATCCATTCCAACACGAAAAAAGCGAAATTAAGGCTGGGACCTACCCGGGTGGGTAAAATTGCTTTACCTCACATACCACAGGGCCAGGGCGGCGCGGGCTCCTATGCAGGAGTTAGGATCTAGCCCTACGTGATTCAGGGCCCAGTCCTACCTGGACAAGGGTCCAACTATTACCAGGTAGGGCTGAACCCTGAAACAGGTAGCTTTGGGTCCTGAAGTAGCTGCTCCTATGAGGTATGAGGTAAAAACATTTTAGCTACCCGCTTAGGCCCAAATTCCATTTTCCCGTGAACCCATTGAAAATAATCGATCCTATACGAGGCAGACCGCATTGATAATTCTTCTAAATGTATACAAAGAAATGAACTCCATTTCAGCCAACTTGCAAAGGATGCTAACGGTATGATCCGAAATCGGATCCACTGATTTAAGCATTTACATCTATTAAAATAAGACTTAGGCATGAAATTCAAAGTTGAAAATTTGATTCTAAAATCGTTTCTATTGGTGGGGAGGGTACAAATTCAGAAAATTAGCAGCATGATGAAAACACGGCAAGTTATGGTTTCAGGAAATTCCGTCAACGATTTTTGGTCCGCGCACCTGTCTCGTCGAGTAGTTTACGTCCACGCATAAAATAAGCATAATAGTGACTTGGCCCAAGCGTTATATTTTAGTCCGCATGTAAAATTATATTGACAACATCAAAATGAGAGAATTAAGAGAAGAGGAGGTGTCGACATCGTAACTCATTTTTTAAATGAAATGTTAGTTTCTTCCTTTGATTCATCATTTTCAAATGTCATAGATGAATGTTTGCTTTTATTTCTGTCCTCAATTTTTTTTATACAAAATATAACTTATATGTAACTATTTCAATGAATACACATATTATTACTTCATTATAAAAACATTTACATTATTAAAGTGAGGAAAATATTTTTAAAGCCTCTTTCAAGCGATGACATAGATATAATCTCAATGAGCCGTAGTTGTGTTGAAAGGAACTATACAAGAATGAATAAAAGAGGACAAAACCAAGGAGCACGTAAAATTCACACCGCACTGTGGCAAAATAGAAGCACAAAATATAAAAGAAAAAATTTAAGTGCTTTGGAAATCATTAAATTTGACACGGAGCCACCTTATTATTTAGAAAACACATATTATATTTTCCTTCAATACATATATATATTTTTTTTCATCAATTTAAATGAGAATAATCCATGCAAAGTGTGCAAACATTTCAAAATCATGAATTGAAAAACGCTGACTCAGCGAGTTTAAATATTAGAACCTAACACAGGGCGAGGCGACGTGCTACCAGCGCGCAACGCGCACTGGCGGCAATGCGTGAAGTATCCCTGTTAGGTTTGTAGGCGCGCAACGCGCACTGGCGGCAATGCGTGAAGTATCCCTGTTAGGTTTGTAGGCGCTTATGCGCGTGTTACGCTAGTTGCTCGAAAGCTCGCCTCGCCGCGGACGCGGAGTGTTACGTCGATCCGAGCTACTATTTTACGACAGAGGTGTAGCACTATAACGAGATGGGATTTCCTTGAAAGATAATTAAGTCCAGTTGCACCAAAGAGGTTTAGAGAGTTTTAATGAATTTTTCCTTATGGAATTGAGGTCCTCCCTATTTTTACAAAAAATCTCAATTACATATTTTTCTCCGTTGGCCAAAAAAAAAAATTATAAAAAAAGAAAGGAAAAAAGGGGAAAAAAACAAGCAGACCCTCATTCCTCCAAGACATTATACATTTTCATCCGAAAACGTCGTGAGCAATTGTCTTTTATATTTACACATGGACCAATTAACTTTGAGTCTCAAATTGGTAAGAGGACCAAAGCTCCCCCATCGAAAAAACCCGTGGACGTAAACTAACTACTAGAAAAAACAGGTGCGTGGACAAAAAATCGTTGACGAAATGTCCTGTAACCCCAGTTATGCATAATTTGTTTTCAAATTATTCTAGGAGCTTGCCAGCAGTAATTCCCTTAAGTGATTACTCTGAGTTTGTCGTTTAAATGTATGTAAAACAATCTATGTACACAAAAGAGGTCTGCATTGTCTGGAACCGATTATTTTTACTGGATTTCAATTGAAGAAAAACGGCGTGGATACTTGAGAGAATTACCATTAGTGCTCGCAAATACTCTAAAGTAAATAAATTGACTTATCTGCTAGAAAAGTATGTTCAAGTGCACCCCTTTTCATCTAAGTGCGCCGCTGCTTTCGCTAGTAAGAAAATTGGCGGTTCATAAAAATCGCCAGTATGAAGTTACTCATCAAAAATACGAGTATGTCCACATTTTGCAATTAGGAAGCATAATTTCTCGCTCGTTGTAAGTACAACATATCATCGTTTTCCGGACAAAGAAACGTAACTCCATTCTAAGGTTGCCAAATTGACTCAAACAATTGATTTATTTTACCAAAATGTACCTATGAAATTTTAATTCAACATTTTGCTGATTTTTGCATGAAATCTGAGGAAAAATCGGTGACATTTCCAATTAGGGATGCCCAAGATTCTCCTGGTTAATATGCAATTTACGGGGAGAAATTTGGCACCATTGACGTGGAGTTACGTTCTTTTGTGCGTGAAACGACGATACGTGCCGTTAGTTTCCCTAGCTGCTCTAAATTGCAAACTGCAGTCCATTTCACAAAACACTAGTCTTATAAAATACAATATATTACAGCAACAGTACAATTTTTACTTACTATTGAAACCTTTTGGGTCATTAGAATTCTTATACATCAAAACTTGTTAAAATTTGATCTTGTAGCCTGACCTTGGAGTAGAAGAACAAATTGAACAGGTTCACTTTCATTTGCGTCTATACCATTCACTGATAGGTGAGCCTTTGAAAAAGCAACTTCTCGATAAAACTTATCCAGCAGTCACGTTAACTTTCAAATCGATACTGCCCGATAAGATTACGAGTAATAAAAAGTTTCGTACTGGCGATTCCCATGTGCTACTACGGTGGTGCGGAAGAGAGCAAAATAACCCGCAAAGTGCACGGTTGCCATACTGTGAGCCGGTTTGTCCTGACTTTTACTTTTCCAGTCGATGTAACACATGAAAAGTGGCGACTTGTTAGTCCTGCATTATTGGTCAAACAAGACATGAATTTCCTCAAAAATACACCTATTATTCAATGATATCCAGTGTGTTAGTAAAAGTTTAATTTTCAAAAATCAGGAAATAGGAAGACAAATTGAGCTAAAATGTGTTTCTGTGGCATATGATTCCGATTTTCGCTAAAGTTAAAGATAATGCTATTATTCAAGAGTAATTTGCTGTGCTTATAAATTTTTGTTGACACCAGCAGGTTTAGTTTACAAGGAATACGTCAAGTAGAAAGGAAATGAGCCACATCAGCTACTGCCAAATTTAATTGGACGATTGCATTTTTTCCATGAAGACGGTTGTGCGGATTTTTGTGCAAAATTTGCATGGTAGGAAACCAATCCCTTAAAAGTTTGGAAGGAAACCGCACAAACGTTCTCTTGTAAAAACTTACCATTTTTACAATGGTAAATTAGTCAAATTTGACAATGGATGGCATGGCTTGGTTCCTTTCTGTTGAACTTGGTCTACATTTCTACGAAAGGAACTTTCCTTTCATTCCGGTGAAATACCACGTAAAAACTAACCAGAATTTTGAAGATACTGCCACAACATTGCCGGTTAAAAAAGGGAATGAGTTATAATAGCATCAATTTTAAGCGACCATTCCGTGACACGCTTCACAGTATAGCAACGACGATTTAAAATGTTAAAATGACCATGAGTGCTCAGTGCTCACCTCCTTTGGTATCCTCCGTTTCTATTGGTTGTTTGAGCGCTGTGATGTCCCGGAACGTCAGCAAGAACAAGACAACAAGGTCTCTCTCGTTTTTGATTGGCGCAATCTGGAGCAGGAGCCATAGTGGTGTTTCTAAAAAAGAAAAAAAAAAAGCACACAGATAAGTCAAACACACTAGTAGGATGATCAGAAATAAAAGGAATCTCAAAAAAAAGTAAGGCATGACTGAAACTTACTAAAAACTGTATGTACGTAGCAAAACACGAATTTTTCAGAAAATAATAATAATTTTCACCGCAAAAACTCGTAAGTATGAATGTTTTCGATACGAGGAAATCGGATACCCGCGCGGCATAAAAAAGATACGGAAAGAGTCAAATGTGTTCTTTTAGCGGCTCTGGTGCTTGCACTAGAGCTGCTATTCCGGACGGTCCCAGCTGGGGAGTATCAATGCAGCATGTTACATTGTAGAGACCGCGCGTTGGTTGATGGGAATCGGCGCCATTTTCGGCTATGTTCCTTGTCATGACTTTATTTTATTGCATACTGTTTTATTGTTAGTCAATGCTATGTTGTGTATTGTATTTTTGGAATCATGGTGATACAGTCAACAATTCAAAACTTGTTTGTGCTTTTATCTCGTGATGGAAAAAATGTACTTTACGTTCAAAATTTGAAAATTTGAATTTTAAAGTTTTCGCGGTTAAGGAAGCTTTAACCACTGGGTTGGAGCTTCCTAGTCATTTACTCGATATCAGCTGATAGCAAACAAAGGTTACCAGGGAAACCGTAAACGTCTAACAACTATCGTGGCCATTGGGGCGATTATTGAAATGATATCGACTGTATGTCGCCGCTTACGACAGGACATAGCCCTATCTTAACTGTGTAATATATCGCAATTCGATATTGTTTTGATTTTTAAAAGGAGCAATTCATTCATACAGTTCCGATTAGTTTTGGCGAACGGGCCCTTAACCTACGGCACTCGGCTCATGGGAATTTTTTAACTTGTCCTGGACGGACTCGTCTGTATAGCGCCTCGTTCTTCGTTGTGTGTGTGATTTCGTGAAGAAGTTTCTATGGCAATTTGCTTTTATTTGTGAGCTGTTTTTTCACGGGATTTTTGAATGTTCTGAACGAATAAATTCGGTGAGTACCTCATTTATCCCTCCTTCCAGTAAAATTATTTCAACTTTTCCTTCTCCCTCATTCTGGACCCACTCATGGGCTGATTATTTTCTCATTCTTGAAACTTTAGACTGGCAATTTCTATGCACAATCTATAGCTCATTAACCTATAGTTCAAGAGTTCCTCACTAGTGTCTTGCTCTTCTTTTTTATTTTTAAAGCCTCAATGCTTCGACAATCGAAAACATTTTTTCATCTATATTTTGTAGGCCTTTTTGGCAACACTATTTTCCCCGCAAATAAGCCGGAAATTAAAACGATTGCGTCCTTCGATGTACTTGACATTCAACTGCATTCAACCTGTTAATAATAAGAAATCAACTAATATTCTTTCATTTTATTGGTCTGGATTAGCACTGCTTTCAGAGAGCGCCAAAATTCAAACGAGCCAATCAGATTTAAATATTGCAAATCGCTACATCGAATGACATCATGATTCTTCATAAAAAAATGGCGCTTTTTGCAAAATCTAGGGATTTTTTAAGTATATTTGAGCAAATCAGGGGATTTAGGGATTTTTAGCGAAATCTAGGCATTTTTTTTCTTCCCCGCTAGGGATTTAATATCGGAAGACTGGCTTCCAGTATCGTAGCGTTGATCGTCGCTGATGTCGAAATGGAACCTAATGCCGGACTTACTGTAACACCTCCATTCCTCAATTCCGGTGAGGAATACGTCTCTACCCTTAACTCAATATAAATATACAAATTGATAAGTGAGTGCTTTAGTCTCCTGAAAACAGAATTGCGAAACTTAAAATTGGAGAAAAATGATGAGTAAATGAAAAAATGGAACCAATTGATGGGATATGTCGCATGCCATTCTGACACAAAATATGGCGTCTATCGAATCACCTTAACTAAATAAAATAACCAAATTTTCAACTCTCAAACTATCAACTATCAACTATCAAAATTCAAACTATCAAAATTTCCAACAATGACAAAAATGATTGTAATATACCTATAATGTAATGAAATATACACGCTCTAATCATTTAATTTGTATTACCTTTATGTTATGTACCTACATGTTATACTATTTTTATAATAAATTTTGCCAACATGCTTTTCAATTCAGTCTACAACATTTCATTCCGACGTGGCAATAATGATTTATAATGCCCCTAAACATTAAAATGAATTACAATAGTAATGCCGCATTATAATGTCGTATTATACATCGCAACGATTCATGTCCTACTGATTATTGATTATTGTAAGATGAATTCTGTTTTCTCTGATTGTATGTTTCATACGTGCGAAGCAAGTACGGGTCACTAGAAACGTGGTTCGTACGGGTGGCTGATGAAATTGATCTTCGAATACCTTTTGATGAGCTAGGGAAATGGAACCATCTGCATCTCATGGACAATAAATAGTTGCCGTAATTAAGGTCATCCCGTGATTAAGGTGCCGTGATTTAAGTCATAAATTCTTCATCTAATTCTTGATTCATCTCCAAAATGTCTGCTAAAGCTTTCATGCGCTTCTCCTTGTATGCATGAATGAGCAAATTGGGTATCGAACAAGCGGACACTTTTTGAAAATTTAGATGATTCTGGACAATATCGTACAGAAGTCCACGAGCTGCAGATAGAACCATTACCTCTAGCTCATCAAAAGTTATTCGAAGATCATTCAACAACCTCTTTGACAAGTTGCAAAAACTTTTCGTTAACAATAGTGTCACACGGTACTAGGAATATTTACTATTTAACGAACCTTATATTTCCCTGACTCAGTCCTAAATTATAGAAGTATGCGTTACTTTTCCAGCAATCCAAAAAAACAATTATACAAAAAACCAATACCTACACTTTCAGATATAAAAATGCAAATTTTTTGCAGCCTCGCTAAACGACTTATCAACCAGAGATTTTTTAGGAAGCGGACCTCCAAAGAGCTTTCAAAATTAAAAGTATACAACAAGTGATAATGCCATGTATTCGCCATATCAAAGCCCAATACACATTTATACACCGGCTACGTAAATCTGCTAAGTTACAAAACATGAATCGACAGTTGTCGGATTGTACATCAATGACAAAATGTGTCTAGGCCCTCATTCTTGACTACAACTACTGCCCCCAGAGCCGCTCTCCGACGCCAATGCGTTGGAGCTTCCTGCTTGTTTTTGATTCAGCAGAAATATTCAACGTGTACATGATTATTAATCAGTGGAAGTTCGAAAATTAACTTTTCCGGCTGTGTGACTGTGGGTGTTTTATTTTTATTTTATTTCATTTTTTTTTAATTTTTATTTTTGCATATGAGCAACACCTATCATAATAGAGTGTGAGTAGTCGCACTCGGGTATTGGTTTCGTAATTTGACCATCGACATTTTTTTTCACCAAGAAACATGTAGTTTACAATACATTGCAGAGACGATGTGGAGTGTCTGCTCACGCCAAACATTCAAAAGGACGTATGCATCCACAAAAAACGGGCTTTGTTCAGGAGAAAATAACGGACCTTCAGCTGTTGAATGCATTATGAAGGTAATTTCTTTCACGGCAATTCGTCGAGAAGTTAAAAGTAGAGACTCTTTCACACTGTTTTCAAAGTATTTTCAGTCCTGTTTATTTATTAAGGTTAACTGCGCGCTTTTGTTCAAAGGAAGCTTAATTGCCGTTAGGAACCGTACTTACAAGGTGCGTCACGAGCAGGTTTAAAACCCCGGACTTTTTTTACTGTTGGAGGAAACAAAAACTTGGAAACGATGAATGGAAACGCTTGTTAAAGTCACCGTTGCACGGCCCATTAGTCTTGTAAGTGACGCGGCGTGCTTTGCGATATATCGATTGTTCTGTCTTTTAAACCTATGGGACAGGACCGACACACAGGGTATTCGTATCGAACATATTGATAATAGATTCATTACCACAACCTCAAATGGGGGAATATCAATAATCGATCATTCACGCTTCGCCTATCGTCTTGTTATGTTGGAAAGTTTGTTGAACGATAGGATTTGGATCCTTTAAGCTTCCAGGCCTCAAGCTTTCAGCTTTCATGCTACAGCGGTGAGAGGACACCGTCGCACCGAAGAAGAACACCGGCAGATCTATCAAACGTTGTCAAATTTCATCAAACAAAAATTTGAAGAAAAATTGGAGAAAAAGGAGGAATCCTTTTTCCTTGAAATTTCAAACATCCTTTTTTTCTCATAAATTTGAAATCGGCCAAAAAAATCTTAGAAAAATGAGAATGTTATTCGTAAAACTAGCTGCTTCAGCTCGCTTCGCTCGCCTCCTTACCTAGCCGGCGGACTGATTATTGAAATTGATAGACAAAGCGATGGACAAAGAGAACATAGGGAATATGGAGCGATCTTATTGGTTGCAACTGGGGGTTCTCACAGACTGAGGGGGAAAATGATGGACTAACTGTCTAGTTTCTTGTCAGTTGCCGTAACAAATATTAGCGCCTGCAAGACTTTAGGAATACTTCTCGCATTGCACTAAACGCAGTGCAGTCGGTCAGTTGGCGCGTGGGACGCATATTAGATCCTAAAAGACTGTAGAAATGATGTACGACTGCGAATCATCATTCTTGACTTTCTGCTCTAGTTTTTACCATAGTTTAAGGGAAAATATGTATTGTCATTGTACCGATTCAGAAACTTGGATGATATTTAATTTTTTTTTTTTTTTTTTTTTTTTTTTTTTTTTGTTTTGTTACATTAAACGAAAATAGATCGAAATGGCTTAGTTCCTTCCTATTGGATGCTGTACATTATTTCCAATTTTTGTAAAGGTGCGTTCTGATGCAAACGCAGTGTAGAAAAATACCCGTTGTACACATAGTTCCCTCTTTTCATCAGGTAAGGATCAGGCTTCATTCGATCTGAACATTTGCAGTACATCAGAAACCATACATTACCGTCACGTAAATATTATCCCACGGGCGAAATATTTTAAGCAACAAAAAAGGGGGT